GTATTAAAAGTGGAACATTAAGTGGGATTCTAATTTATGGGGTTTGTTTATATCGGTACCACCCATGTCCAATTCCATACTGTTTAATGCCTTAAGCATTGCTGGTTTCAATTGTCTTTCTTGTTTTTGAGCAATCCAAATTAGAATGTCTTAAAACCTGATCACTTCATTTTCTGTGTCCTGTTTCTTCTGTGTGTTCAGTGGAATTACCTGACTCTGGCCTCTTTTGAAATCCTTTTGTATAATAGTATAATAGTAACATATACATCCAGTTGTTTTTGTATGTTAATCTGCAGTCTTGGAACAAAATGGTGGCCAGTAAATACTGATGGGGACCATATCTTCTGTATTTTTAATGAGTGATACTTTCAGATAATGACTGGTCTTCTCCTCATCTTTATTAGTATTGTTACTTCTAGAAAAACCTGCCTTTGATTTAGTAACAATAGAGAACCTATAGCAGTGAATCATTACCAAGCATGGTAAATTCATTACTGGAATTTTAAATTGAATAATAATTATCAATTCATTCTCTATTTCATTTAGTGTCAGTCCATTAATATGTACTTTTAAGAAGTTCTTATTAAGAGAGTGTCATGATAATGGCAGATCATCATTATAGGTACTTAATTATATCAAGATAAAATATTTAGCTCTGAATGAATATTTTTAAGAAATTCATAATAAAACAATAATTAATATCAAACTTAAAGACATGATTTTCCTTTATTATATAATATTTATAAGTCTAGTAATTCACAGGGCCCAGATGCCAATTTTTCTGGTTTCATTTGAATTTACTATTCTTCTGCTTGGTATGTGGAGCATAGGAGAAGGGAAGTGCTTCAAAATTTCATAAATGAAATAGAAAGTGTTATCATCCAAACAGCTCTGAGGCTAAAAGATTCTCATCGACCGCAGTGAGGGGGCTAGGGGCCAGGCTTGCTCCGCCAGCCCCCCTCTCCAGGGGCAGCCCCACGCATCCCAGAGTGGGGCTTTGGCAAGGAGCCTCTCGCTGCACTTGCTGGACTGGGCGGTCCACTCAGCGGCTGTGGCTTATGCAGACCTACATGGCCCCTTCAGCCATCTGATCATACTGGCTGATTTTTTTTTAATACTTTGACATTTAAGGACCAAGTTTATGTACAATAATATGCAGTCAATGATGTGTCTCCTATTCTGAATTTTCTTTGTTCTATCATCCATGACAAGCATGGAATGTGGTTTGCCACTGAAAAGAGCTCATCTCAGCCAGACGAATTTCTGTCAAAATTTATGTGTTTAAGGTCGTGGTTGTTAACTAAATAAATGAAAGAAACCAGGCAAAGATATAGCTCATATAGAATAGAATGTTTTAGGACAAAAGAAAGAGCGCATTCTTTATGGTACTAAAGTAAAGCATCTACAGGGGTTAGCTGGTATTATACTTTATATTTATTTTCTGTTATTTCTTTTCTCTCCCTATGAAACATTTTGAGCAATTTTATAAATTACACTAGTTTTAATAAAATAGGCTCTCTTAATTTTTTTCCCTACTGTCGCAGTTAATTTGGGCAATGTCAGTCTGTTACTGTTAGAATTGCTATTCAACTGAAAATGTATTATGATCTGCTGCACACATAAAAAATTACATTATAATGAGCAAAACTGAGCTAAACATAACTGTGCCTATACAAGCAGTGTGACAGGAAGTGTCTCCTATAATGGTGATGATTTCCATATCAATGATAATTTCACTGTCTGATTTCCATTGTCTTCTCCTTGCTGCCATATTGATATAAAAAAATGTGTCCATCCAGAGATGCAGAGGGAAAAACAATCTTGTTAGCTCCCTTTCCTACTCCTAGAGAAATCTGAAGTAATTAGAAAGTAAAAGAGGGCAGCAGCCAAATTCTTTCCCTCAAGGCTGCACCTCTTTCCCCACTAATGCCCTTTGATAGGTTTATGCACTTGCTGGAGACAACTTTTGAAAACATCTTAATGGCCTCAACTCTTAAACTAAAAATATCCAACCATTTCTGCCCTCAGCCAGTGCCTGCTGGGTTACAGAGGCATATCGCCATTTGGGGCTGGTCATCTCAGTACAGAGGAGGTTTATGACTTCTCAGAAGTATGAGGGGGAAGAAGGACGGGAGAAGTTTGCTTCTCCCCATTGGTGCATCACTGAATAGTCCCTTCAGCTCTGAGATAAGCTTCACAATGTAGGATTCTAGATCAAGGGACAAGATGAAAAACAGAAGTTACAAAACCTACTCATCCCGTAAGGGAATTCATCTGCTTTTCTGGCCCTTCTCTTTCTTTGATCTCAACACAGCAACTACTTGCTGAGCATTTGCTACGTGCACAGCGATGTGCAAGGCATGGAAGGGTTTGAAAGGGACTCAAGTAGTCCCTAGGTCTTCAAGGAGTGAATTGGATAATGAGTTGGATACTAAAATAGGCACAAGGAGAAACTCTGGAAATAATCACATGTGGAGAAATGTGTCTACAGAGGCATATGGTTTATATCAAAATTCAAAAACTATATAGATTTTTTAAAGCAAAGCTGCTGCAAGAGATTATAGAAATAGTGGTTTCAAACCAAAACAAACTATGCACGATCATACCTTCCATGCTTACAGAGTCTGAGAAAGTCTCTCTCAGAATGTGAATTCCCCTTTATTGGAATGTCAACAAACACCCAATTTCCTGTAGATACAATTTTGGCATTTGCAAATGACTGTTGATTTGTAACCCATCTGGTACTTGGGTACTGGTTACAAGTCAAACCTCCTTAAGTCTGCAATTTTCTGTATTGGGATTCACAGCTTCTCCTTAGTCTTCATTTGTCCAAAGAAAAATGTCTTCCTTTGATGTCTTATCCATTCCTGTTCTTAAGAGAAACAAAGCCTTTGCTAGTTTTAGTTTATGGATTCCAGCATATAATTGCATCCATGCAATAAAAAGTATGCTCAACTCAATTATCTCTCAGTTTTTTTCCAGCATTGATAACATTGACACATCTTGGATGTGTAGTCCTTATATGCTTTCAAATTCCAGTCATAGTCTTTAGAATAGGGTTGATTATTTAGGATAAAAGAGGTCATAAGGAGGAAAGAACCCTAAATTGAATGTGTATTTCTATGTAAATTTCAAATGGCTTCAGTTGAGGGTAGTTGAAGAAAGAGGAATCTGTGGGTTCATCCAGAAAAAGGAGGAAGGCACAGAGGTTCGGTGGGTTTTGCCAGAAAGCTTTGAGCCTCAAAAGGAGCTCCTCGTTCTGGAATCAAGAACTGAGTGTAGACAGAACTGAACTGGCATTGGAAGCTCCTTATGAGCCTGAGGAATTGGAAAAAGTTCTGAGAAGCACATGTTCTGCTCTGCCAAAGGGTAGCCAAATCATTTCCATCTCAGGTTCTAAGGTAGCAGAGCAAGGTGGACCAGGAAGCAGGAATGAACAATTCTAAGGGACAAATGCAGGAAGACTTTGAACATTGGATAGAGGATCAGCCAGAGGAAATTAAAATACTCCTTCAACTGCATGTTAGCTTCAACAGTACAAGAAATATCTCCATGCATCTTGGTGAACCTTTGAGGAAGGAACTCTAAAAATTTTCAGGAAAAAGAGATAGCATGCAGAAATTTATTGGACAGTTTGCAATGCACAAAGTTATTTTTTGTCTTGTTTAGTAAATGCAAACACACAAAAGCTTTGGGAGATTTACTTTTAAGTCCAGTCACTCAATAAGGTCTTAGATTTTCTTCATCTATAAATTCTACCACCATGGAGTTTTTAGGAACCTGCCCTTGGAGGCTGTGTGTATCACTTTATTTTACTTTTAGAAAAAAGTGTCTGGAAAACAAAACAAAACAAAATAAAACAAACTATGAACCTGTCTCTCTAGCAGGAATTGTTCATCACCGGGCACTTGTAGTCAAGAAGAGGAGGTTGACTTGTGCCTAAGCAATGTCTGACGTACTTCATGAGTGGATTTTTTTTCCCCTTCAACAAATGTAGTCTTTTGCTTTCTTTTCATGCTCCCCAACTATTATCTTTTCCTTTTTCACAGCCTTTCTTCCTTTGTCTTTTTGTCTCCTTCGTGTGTATCTTAGGTTTCTCAGCACTGTTTGGTCTCCCACAGCCTAAGAAGGTTTTAAGCCCTTGCTGCAAACTGTCCCACCCAAAACTAAGTCCTTCAGTCTTAAGTACTGAGAATTCCTTGAGTAAAGAAACAAGGGGTACTTTTCTTCTGAGTCATATGTAGTTCCTTCCCTGCTGTCTTTTTCTTAAAAAAATCGAAACTTCCAGCATTTAATAGGAGCAGTCTTTTTTTCCCTCTTTTTTTTTTGAACCTCCAGACATAATTTTGCAGTTTCTAATAATATTGTCTAGAGAAATGCAGACTGTCATGAGCAGATGGTAACCTCAGGGCACTATGGGAACAAAAACACAGCAGTCTGAAGGAGGCTAGAGTAGCAGGAGGGTAGCTCTAGGGAGAATGCTGGCACCAGGCACGGGTGCAGAGTCCTAAGTGGTTCAGAAGTCCCCTCTGCACAGCTCTTCACCTTTCAGGGGACCTCACCTCTCTCCTCTGTGGCCTGGCCATGCCTGCCACTAATTTTCCTGATCTCTGAAGAAACTTAAGCCTTATTTATTCACTGCGGTGCTGAAACTATTTGACAGCAAATACTTTTAAGATAACGTAAAGGAGAGAAATTTCAGTTTCCTTGATACCTGTCTGTTCTCTAGCGCTGCATTTTCTTTCACAGGATTTCACAGACCTTTGTCGTGGAGCCTCTTGTCACATCCCTTCTTTTTTGTCCAGTTGTAGCTAGCAGGCCTCCTTGTTTGTAGTTATGGACAAAATTAACTCTCTAGCAAAGGTTTAGGCAGAACTACGGATGCTGCTTCAGCACAAATACTTATAATGACATTGCAAGCATTTTAATGTATGTTCTAACAAGCTTTGTGTCTGCAGAAGGGAGGAAAGAAGGGGCTAGTAAAAATGAATTTCTCTCAGGACACCTTCGAGAAGGCGAGCCTGAGTAGCGTCAGCAGCGGAGCCTCCAGCCTGAAAAGCGAACTTGCAGAAAGTGCAGCCCTGCCCCCCGAAGGCTTCCAGGCCCCCTGCGGGAAGGAGGAAGACAGGGCCTGTGACGGAGTCCTGTCCGATGAGAACTTCAACTTGGAAAATATCGACAAAGGTATTTCTGGCGAAAGGATGGCAGGATGAATCACCCTCACGACGGCTTTCTGTGTCAAGGCTCATTTGCTTTTGCTTTTGACTTTTTTTTTTTCCCATTAATGTGCAGACATATATTCAGAGCTGGATGATGAACTGGATGTTTCAGATAACTCGAGCAGCTCCGGGTCAAGCCCCTTAAAAGAGTCCACATTCAGTAAGCTTCCTTTACCAGTTAGTGAGATTCCGGGAGTGGTTTGGGAATCATACCGGGGTCAGGTAAGTGTTGTGATATGGATGACCCAGCGGTTGGTTTCCAGGTACTTATACATTCCTTGCCAATTAAGACAAGTGTGCCTGTCACTCTGACGGCCCAGAGCCCAGCCAGCACTGTGTTTTCCCTTTGCCTCAGCTGTCAAATGAATCGTTGCACCATTTCTACCAGCAAATGTAGGTTCTACCTAGGGAGTAGAGACAACTAGTTTGGAGACAGACTAAATAATCACAGGAATTGTGGACTGTGGTGTTTTATGAATCTATTGTTTAGGGATTAGAAACTCAGAGAAGAAATTAGTCTTGATGTAGACTAAATTTTGACCCGTTTTATTCACATTAATGTAAAGGGATATGTTCTATTTAAAACTCTAAAGTAAAATAGATATATTAATTGTTTAGTACAATGAAAAAATATAGTATATAAATTCAGTCCATACATTAATTTTGACTCCCAATTTGAAATAGTAAAGAAAATGGTTGCAGTGGGACATGGGAAAGAAAAGGAAAGTTATATATTTAGATAAAATTTAAAGATTATAAGGAAAGATAAGATTCAATTCACTGAACAAATCTAAAACTGAAAGGTAAAAGTTAAAATAGGAAATGGAGAGTGTTGAGGAAATATTAAAACAGAGAGATAGAAACACTATGAAACAAATTAAGTGTAAATAATTCCCTTTCACCAATGACTATACTATGAAAATCTTACAAAAGAACATTTCAAATAGCATCTCTAAAGATCAAAGTAGAATCCTATGGATTTATGTTCATATTCGTTCCTTCCACATTTAACTGGTCCATCGAAATGGTGACTGAATGTTCCCGATTTTCTGAAGCAATCTTAATTTCCACCATTGTTTTCCCTGTAAATTCCTGCCTGCTAGACAAACTATGCCTTGATTTGCTATTGGGAAAACACAAATATTATACAGTAAAAAGTATTCACGTCTATAAATGTATGTAGCATATTCTAGATGCAGTTCATTACTGTTTTGAGATGAATTCAGTGTTACATATCCTGGATGACGATGGTGGGAAGGGCCAGTGGGGGAGGAGAAATTGGACTTAGTAACATGTAGCTGCCTTGGCTGAACTTTAAGAATATTAGGGCATAGTTATTTTATTGTACATAATTAGCTGTTAAAAAAGGAGTTGGTTTAGCACCTTTCTTTGGAAAAGGGACTTTCACCAAGCCTATCAAGTGAACAGTAATTTGCAGCCTTATATTTTAGCTGACACTTTCATAAATGAAGGCAGTCTTTATAGTATGTAAAATTGCTCAGAAAATAGAATGCAGCATTGTTTTTTCAAAATAAATAAATACATAAATAAAAGATTTGCATAGGGAAAATGTAAAGTTATTTTTATTTTATGTTTCAGGCATTTTAAAGAGAAGTTTTAGTGCGTCAGGAGGAGAAAGACAATCCCAAATGAGGTATGTACACACTGAGCTCCTAGAGATGTTTTTAGATTCTGCAGAGCTGAGTTTATTGGTGGCTACATTGAACCTGATAGCCAGGAGTCACCATGGGCTGTTAGAGCCCACCCTCCCAATACGGATGAGAGGTTACCTCACAGCATACCGGAAAGGGTATTAAGCTTGCACCTGGGTTTGGATGTAGCTTTATGATCTTCAGCCCATCAATTAGCCTCTCTGAGCTCAAGGGCAGACCAGGGAGGTAGGGCAGCCATGCTCCAGGATGTCGTCCAGAGCCCTGGATCCTTATATCTTATTTTTCCATAACCCCGGGATATAGGTCTCATCCTCATGGCAAATGTGACAAGTGTGGGCCACATCACATGTCCATTATGGCTAGCAGGACACGGGAAGGAGATGTGGAGACACACCCCTTCCTTTTAGGGACATGACCCAGATGTGCTTGTCCCTTCTGCTCACACATCATCAACCAGAACTTAATCACATGACCCCATCTGGCTGTACAGAAGGGTAAACATGTTTGGGGGATTCTGTCTTAAAAGGAAAAAGAAATTGTTATTTTGAGACAACTAGCAATATCTGTAACAGCTCTTGGGCTAAAGACTAAAATGAAACTGCTAGGTTTGGCCAACTGAAGTCCCTGGTGACCTTCCTAAGCGCCATCTCAGTGGCGTTAGGTGAGGTGGGTGGGAGCGGAAGCCTGACTCTGGGCTGGAGGAGTCACAGAAGCAGAGATGGGGAGAAACTGAAGAAAGTGAGGAGTGAGCAGGGCCATGGGCTGCTGGAGATGTTGCTGGAGAAGGGCTTTCTAGAAGCAGGTGACTGCAGGGTGACCGGGAAAGAGGAGAGACAGCCAGTGGAGACAGGAGAGGGGCCGGGAATTGTGGCACACAGTCAGAGTATCTTGGAGCCCAGAGAGTGGGCCTGGGAAAGACGGAGCCTCAGCCTTTTTCTGGGTCTGAAGCATGGGAGGTGAAGGTAAAATTAAACTAGAAAGCAAAAAAGAAGGATATTCAGGAAGCTTATACTTGGTGGTTTCTGTTTATTAGACGATGTTCAATTTCATGCTGAGAGAATGGCCTAGATTTGAGGATCTGACCTGGAAGGACCAGCAGGAGATGGGCAGGGGCTGCCCCGCTCTGAGGCAGGGCTGGGTCCGCACCTCAGTGTCTGGACAATGGCACGGCTGGCTCCAGAGCTGGGGGTGATCCTGGCCGGGGCAGTGTCTGCATTCATGTGACAAAAGGCTAAGGCTGTGGTTGCTTCATCAGTCAGGCTTTTTGGATGCAAGCCAAAGAGGGAGATTCATTAGGAGGCTTCGGGGAGTCACCTAATTAGGAACCCAGGGAATCAAATGTAAGAAGGGAAGGGAGCCAGGTCAGCTCTGAGAGCTGTGGAGAAGGCACTCCTGGCAGACTCAGGGAGGCACGGGAGCTGGGGAGAATGAGCCCCGGGCTTGTTTTTCCCACCTTTCTGTCACCTGTCTCAGGACTCAGGGTCCTGCAAGAGAGGTGGATTGGCCTAGCTTGGGTCAGGACCCTATTTCCTGCTCTGCAGAGAGCTGAGCTCCTTGACCCACAGCCCCTTCAGGTCTGTCAGGGGATCCTTGCTGCACGGAGCAGCCTCAGTGCAGCTACTCCTGGGTTGGAGGGTGCTGGGAGGACACACTTGAGAATGAAGAAACTGCTAGCAAAATCCTGAGGGCTCCAGCCAGGTGGCAGAGGAAGGCTCATGTAGAAAACCATTTTTTGTCTAGTCAAAGATACAATATCACTGACAACTTTATCTTTCTCAAGGAAGGGTCAGGAAGGGTCAGGGTGGAGCCTTTTAATTTCCTAACTCGTTTCCAGTGTTAGTAACAAAAACCCAAGCAAAACCTGTCAGAGTGTGTAATATCCCCAAGAGATCCCTGAGGGGAGCCTGGAGACCTCATGAGGCTCCCCAGCGGGTCAGGTGCAGAGGAGCCGGGCTTGGAGAGAGAGGAGGAGCAGGGAGAGGAGAAACAGACCAAACCCTTAGGGGAACTGGAATGGGTGATCACGGGGACTTGGGACCTGAGTTAGAAGGTCCCCACGGGTCTCCAGGCTGGCAGGTCCCTCTCACTTCCCACCTCCTGACTTCTCACCGCTAACCAACCAGCCCTGCTCCCACTCTGCACAGACAAGGAGGCCCACACACAAGAGCCTGGAACCATGGGAGGCCTTGCTCCCTTGGCCCCGCAAGTGAGGGGACAGGGCGGGCGGTGCTGCCGGGCCGAGGAGCTGGGCTCTTAGCGCACGGTACCACGGAGTGGGTTTGTCCTCACCTCTGGCTTCAGAGCTTCTACCTTAACCACATCATGAGTTCAGTAGACTTCTGTGAGTTGACCTGAATCTGTCTAACTGCCTAGAACATTATCTGCATAGGGAATTGTTCTCCGTGCTCTCCCCCGAAATAATAACAAGTGCACTCTGGAATCTAGCTACTCCCTTTTAAGGTTTGTGTTTATTTATATTTTTAAGAACATCATCAAAAGGTTTTTTTTCTATTATTGGATATTTTCTTCAGCAGCATAAAATGCTTAAAAGTATACAAGAGATGTAAAACAATTATTTTAGTACAAAAATAAATTATGACGTATGGATGTA